AAAGAAATATTGGCCAAAAAACTTAGCACAGAATGGTCGTACTAAGCTCCAGGAGACCTGGGCATGAGTTATCTTGCCTGCTTTGTGAGGACTTCAGGATTGCACAACTCTAGGGGCACCACCACATCACAGTCAAGGTCAATGGCACTTGTGGAGCAGCACTGTCCACTAGCACTTTCTCAAAGATAAAACTGTTCTATGTTTGTGCCTCCTATTACGCTACTTGATTGGCACTAGCCATACATGGCTATTAGACACTTAAATTCTTGCTGATGTGACTAGGGTACTGAATTTTAAATTTCATTTAATTTTAACTAAGTAAAATTTAAAATCACTCTTGTGCCTAATGGCCACCATTTGGACAGTGTAGCCCCAGAGTCTTGTAGTGCTTGGTTGACATGGCTGTAAGTTGTTGTGTTGACCTATATGTTCCTTGGGCAAACTGCTTGCTTTTCAGACCATTATTATTTTTTTTGTGTCTTTGGGTGCTATGGTGAAACGTGCAGTGGAGCCAATTAACGGGCATCTCAAAGATAATTAATGGTTTGAGTGATATGAAAAATCTAAAACCAACCAACAAATAAACCAAACAACAAACAAACTCAAATGACCAGTCGATGAGAAACTTGGCACACTCTACATCCTTGGAACAAAAACTATTGGCTGGGTGGTGTTGGTGGGGATGGGAGAATCTGTCCCTAACCATATAGGAGAACTTGCTGAGTCAGGGTTTCTGACTTATACCAGATGTGAGCATCCTTTAAGTTTGTGTATGTGGGGGGACCACATGGGAATTCAATGAATCGCCCCAGTTCTTCACCCCTCCCTGTATCCATGATCTTTGACTTGTACTGTTGCATCTCTTCCCATGGAAGAGGCAGGATTGGCCCTTGATTTGAGGATTGGGCATATGATTTGCTTTAGCCAGTGGGCCAGTGTCATCTTGGATGTCACCAAAGGCTTGGTAAGTGCTTGTGTGATGGAGCTTGCCACCTTGCACCTCTCCTATCACTGTGAGAAGAACTTGCATGGCAGGTACCCACTGGTTCCAGAGAAAGGATGGGATGCAAGTGGAACAGAGTTGCTGCCCAGCTCAGCCCAGCCTGGTCCCAGCTGACCCACTGCTTAGATCAGCCAATTCCAGCCAATTACAGACGTTTGAGTTTCTCCTTATGTCACTGAGATTTTATAATTGTCATACAGCAGAGGTTGACTGATAGATAGCTGTTAATTATTTGATTTGAAATGTCTTTATTCTCCCTGATAATTAAAATTCTAGTATTTAAAAAAATATGGAATGCTTCATGAATTTGTGTGTCATCCTTGCACAGGGACCAGGATAATCTTCTCTGTATTGTTCTAATTTCAGTACCTGGGCTGCTGAAGTGAGTGCAAAATTCTGATATTTAGTGGTCTATATTACCATCTTCTCTGCC